CACCACCAGGGTCCTCCTTTACCTTTGCAGATACACACAGTGAAATCCCTCTGCAGGGGATTTCCTCATGCAAAATCCACCACATGGGTCCCCCTTCTGTTTTGCAGTCATGTGTGTTGGAAAAACCCCTGTGTGCACCTGTAAGTGCAGAAGCCCCTGTAGGAGTTTGAAGGCCTTGATTCTGATGGAGCATGGCTTTTTCACATCTAGCCAGACCCAGGGAACCAGTCTGACTGAGCAGGGAAAGAAAGGATTTTCCCTGCACAGCTACACTCTGTCCCTTGTAATTGCAGGGGATAGATCTGGCTGAGCAGGGAACCCAGACTTCTCTGTTTATGGAGTGACGCCCCAAGGTACTCTCTGTAAGCAGGGAAAATGGATCGGTTATCTGGGGGCTTGAGCACCTGTCAATCCCTTGGAGCACCTGTCCAAGTGTTGGGAGAGTCTTCCACCACAGTTCCAACGAAGTGGCAGAGTCTATTACCACTTTGTTTATCGAGCCACTAGTTTTCCTTTAATGTGGTGCAACATAAGGTATCAATGTCTGGTTGCTGGCCATTCGTGCTGCTATAAAAATTGTTATGCTGGCACCAATGCAACATCAGGCAACATCTGTTTCCACCCAAGGAGACACAATGAAAGAAATGCATCTCAGAGAGGAAATGGTCAGATATATAGTGAAGAAAATTCCTCAGAGAGAAGAGCACCCAGCCATCCTGCCACACTATACTGAGATACTTTAAGTCAGTTGGGAGGCCAACCTTTGTGTCAGGTGTGTCACAAATTAGCCCCATGACCTTCCCAAGTGCCACCCTTACCTTTTCCCTTACCTGATCCCAGATCAGGGCTTGCCCTGTGCCTCCTGACCAAACTGCTGCTTTGTTTTCTGCTACCTTCCCTATGCTTCCTTCCTTATCTGAAATTCTGATTTCTGCTCCCTATCCTATCTGCCACTGTGCTACCTGTCCCCTCCCCACTCATCTGTATACCACACATGGAGGTTGTCCATGCCAATTGTGGCACCCATGATTCAGGTTGGCCACCCCTGGCTTAAGGCAGCCATAAGATATTTGCACCTCTGTAGTAGTAGTTCTTCAACAGATACCCAAATCACACATGAACAGATTAATAGATTCAATTGATTCTTTGCTATTAAATCCAGAAGAGATTATAATGATCAGCAATTCTAACCTTCTGCATAGCACAGCTCATAGAATTTTATCACCAATTCTTTCATAAAGCCCAATTGTTTAAACTAGGGCATATGCATTTAAAAGACATCCAAATGCTAATATTAAGGTTGCAGGTAAGGAAAAGTTCTTATTATTGTAATGACTGTAATATTCACTGTCTAAAATTGTACCTTATTTTTGTCAAGTCTGGGATTGTCCTTGTCTCCCAGTTTAAAGAGCACTCTCTCTATCATCTTCTCACTATGCACAAAACAAACATTTAATATAATTGCAAGAAAATTACAAAAATGGGAACTATAAAGTGAACATTGAATAGAACAACAATGGGTTTGCATTAAGTTTTTTGAAGTAGTTTCTTCCAAAGATGCATAAAAATAGGACAGGACAGAAAAATAGGGTTATTCACCTATGAACTTTCTTTCTCTAACATTAACCATTCTAGCTATGGGTTACACTGTGGGCTAGCTCTAGGCAACATGGAAAAGCTTAGAAGTATAACAAATCTAGGGGCAAGATTGTATCCAGGAGACTCAAACAATTAGAATTGCACTGTATACCTACAGTATGTCCCGTCCCCCCTCCCCTCTCCGACTATATAAGGAGGTGCTCAGCCTGCAGAGGTTTGCGACCCAGGTGCAGGTAGTTAACAGGTAAAAGCTTGCCTGGCTGGAAGCCTGGGGGCCATCTATAACTGATCACTAAGTGAGGCTAGAGCTATGGAGAGAATTAGGAGCTTCAAGGGCAAAGAGCAAGGAGAGGGAGCAGCAGGATCAGCTTAAGTAGAAGAACGCAGCCTGTCTCACTCCTCACAGGGTCGGAAGAAAGTTCACATGTTTTGAGTTCATTTATTTGTTTGCTCTTTGTGTGCCTGCTTTGTTTCTTTCTTTTGGTTTTACTGTGGGGATAAGGCTTTCCCCTGTAAAATAATCTCTCTGGAAAACTTGCGCACAGTGCTAACTCTTCTTCACATGGAAACTGAGTGACCCACCTACAAACTGGCCTTGGTGAGGCCGCAGCTGGAGTAGTGCATCCAATTCTGGGCTCCACAATTTAAAATGGATGCGAAGAAGAGAGAGTCCAGAGAAGAGCCACACACATGATCAGAGGGCAGGAAAATAGGCCTTATGATGAAAGTCTGAGAGCCATGGGACTCTTCAGCCTGGAAAAGCGCAGGCTCAGGGGGGACCTGGTGGCTGTCTATAAGTATATAAGAGGTGTACATCAGGATCTGGGGGAATGCCTGTTCACCAGAGCGCCTCAAGGGATGGCAAGGTCAAATAGTCACAAACTCTTCCAAGACCATTTCAGGCTGGACATAAGAAAGAACTTCTTTACTGTCCAAGCCCCCACGCCTGGAACAGACTGCCTCCAGAGGTGGTACAAGCACCTACTTTGGACTCCTTTAAGAGAGATTTAGACATTTATTTTGCTCCGATCCTTTGACCCTAGCTGACTTCCTGTCCCTGGGGCACGGGGCTGGATTTGATGATGTTCTGAGGTCCCTTCCAGCCCTAATGTTTATGAAATCTATGAAATCTATGACACCATGACTGCTTGTACATGTGATGGGGGGTTAGTTCTTCCTAAATTGAAACAGTGAGGTTTTAATTTGTGGGTTTTTAATTGTGTCAATTAAAAACTGTTTCAATTTAGGGACTTCTGTCATGTCACAGTGATGGCCCCACAACAGCTCCCCCCCTCCCCACCCCTACCCTCCCCCACTGCCATGGGCAGGCTCCACCAGAAAAAAAAAAAGGGGGGCCCAGTCTTTTTTTTTCCCCCCCAAAGCCTACCTACCTCTCCCACAGCCAGGGGATGAGCTGCCAGTGGGCCCTGGTCCTTCCCTCCATGCTGGTGGCACCTACCTGGGACCACCCGGAGTGGGCCGCTAGCAGGTGGGTGCTTCCTAAGAGGTGCCACTGCTGTGGAGGGAAGGACCAGGGCCCCCCACAACTCAGGGACCACGTGGCCTTCCGACAGCTTGCTCTCCCCTGCCATGGGAGAGTCAGGCAAGCTTTGGAAGAAAAAGAAGATCAGGCTCCTCACCGCTTTTTTCCCTTTTTTTCCTCAGTGGAGCCTGCCTGCCTTGCTACATAACAAGGTAATTTAAAGTGATATACACTACCGCATGTGTACATCATGACAAAATTAAAGTGAAATACACCACCAAAGGTGTAAACAATGACACCATTAAAGCACTGCTAAAGGCCAATTAAGCCTCTTTAACAGGTAATTTTGTCACATGTACAAGCACCCCATACCATCTTTCCAAATGTACTCCACCAGCTTTCTGGACAGTGAAATCAAAAGTAAGCCTTTTGGCCTTTGAAATCCACCTGGAAAGCTGGAGACAACCCCCAAATTCTCAGCAGCTGGTGAGACAAAAATCATGACTATTGGCTGGTTTTCTACCAATGCAATTGGAAGAATCATCCTACAGTGTGAAGTTTGGTTGTGCAATAAAATGGAATTATTGTGTGCCTGAGAGTCTTCATTTATATCACAGTGTTTTTTGATTGACTTCAAGAAAGCATTGAAGAGGATGAAGGTAAAGCAGTAAAATTCAGGCTTTCTGTGGTTTAAGGAATATTCCTTGGGAAGATACACATGGAGAAGCACACAGGTGCCCAGAGGACTAGAAGCTTCAATAGGGCACAGTATTGGAAGCCCAATAAGAAGCTATTCAGACATGATGGAAAGCACAAGAAAGTTTCTAGGATTCCTCAAATAAAAAAGGAAAATATATCTCCAATAGCTAGAGTGAGGTCTTAAAAGAAGATGTAAAGAAGGCATAGATGCTCAACAACTGCTTTGCCTAAGTCTTCATAAAAAAAAAAAAAAAAAGCTGCAACTAGCCACCTAATAAAGAGTATTTTGATGAGAAGAGGACAAGGTGAGGGATGAGATAACAGAAGTCATAGTCAGACAGCTTTTGACTGGTTGACTGATCTCCTATGTTGGACTTTAAAACTAGCTCAGACAGGGGACAGGGAGGCAGAAGAAGGAGAACATCAGGAACCTGCAATCCATGGGACATCCAGCAGTACAGCACAGGTAAGCAATAAGTAGGTAAGCAATAAGGGGCCCATTGGGCATCAGAACCGGGGGGGCAACAAAGGTGCCAGTCACAGGACTCAAGTGCCTATACACTAATGCTAGGAGCATGGGGAACAAGCAGGATGAACTAGCACTCTTGCTTGCAGAAAACACTTACAAATTAGTGGGGTTAACAGAAACCTGGTGGGACTCTACCCATGACTGGGTGGTACACATTGAGAGCTATAAGCTGTACAGAAAGGATAGAGTAGCGAGGAGAGGGGGAGGGGTTGCGCTCTATGTCAAGGAGCGTTATACATCCATCCTTATCAAAATGGGATTGGAGAAGGAGAAAGTAGAAGGATTGTGGGTTAGGATACATGGAGGTCAAGGGGAAAGGGATTTGGTGGTAGGGGTCTGCTACAGACCCTCACACCAAGGTGAAGAACTAGATTTGGAACTCCTGAGGCAGCTCTTGGAGACCATAAAGACTAGGGAAGTGGTAGCCATGGGGGACCTAAACTACCCTGACATCTGCTGGGAGACACAGACAGAAAATTCCCACCGTTCATGCAGGTTCCTATCCTGTGTGCAGGACCTCTACCTGATGCAGAAGGTACATGTTCCCACTAGGGGGAATGCCTTACTGGACCTGGTACTGGCAATGGGGGATGACATGGTAGGGGACCTACAGATTAGTGGTCACCTGGGGGACAGTGACCACCAAATAATAGAATTCACCATAAGGCATTGAGTGGGAGAGGTAACTAGAAGGGTGGAAGTGCTAGACTTTAGGAAGGATGACTTCAGCGAGCTCAGGCATTTAGTCAATGACACACTGCAGGGTAAGAGATTTGGCAAGATGGGAGCCCAGGAAGGGTGGCTGTGCCCTAAGGAAGTGTTCCTTCAGGAACAGAGGGAGATGATCCTGATGTAGGGGAAATGGGGGAACAGGGCCAAGAGACTTCCTTGGCTAACCAGAGAAATTCAGAGCAGTCTAAGGGCAAAAAGCGGGGCATATAAGCAGCAGAAACAGGGAGAGATTACTAAAGAGGAGTATGCCTCCTCAGCTTGCAGTTGTAGGGAGGCAGTTAGAAAGGCCAAAGCTACCATGGAGCTTAGGATGGCATCCCAAGCTAAGGACAACAAAAATTGTTTTTCAGATCTATAGGGAGTAAAAGAAAGGCCCAGGGTGGTATAGGACCACTATTGACTGGGCAAAAGCAATTGGTGACAGACAAGGGGGGACAAGGCTGAACTCCTCAATGTCTTCTTTGCCTCAGTGTTCCTAAATGAGGGGCAAGACAAGTCTCAAAATGGAATCAGAGAGAGACAACAGCAGGATGCCAGACCACCAAGCATTGACCCTGAGATAAATGCATCCAGTCCTTCTAAGTGACTCTGCACTAAGTTGGCAGGCCTGGATGAGCTCCATCCGAGGGTACTGAAGGCACTGGCTTATGTCATTGCACAGCCACTGGCAAGACTATTTGAGCACTCGTGGTGCATGGGCCAGGTCCCAGAGGATGGGAAAAGGGCCAATGTGGTCTCTATTTTCAAGATGGGAAGAAAGGTAGATCCAAGCAACTACAGGCCAGTCAGTCTCACCTCCATCCTTGGTAGAGTCTTTGAAAAGATTATTAAGGCTCATATATGTGAGAGCCCAACAGGAAAAATTATGCTGAGGGGAAACCAGCACGGGTTCGTAGCAGGTAGATCATGCCTGACTAATCTTGTCTCTTTTTATGACCAGGTTACAAAACACCTGGACGCAGGAGTAGGGGTAGATATTGTTTACTTAGACTTCAGGAAGGCCTTCGATATGGTATTCCACCCCATACTGGTGAACAAATTAAGAGGCAGTGACTTGGATGATTACACAGTCCAGTGGGTGGCAAATTGGCCAGAGGGTCATACCCAGAGAGTGGTGGTGGATGGGTCAGTATCGACCTGGAAGGACATGGGCAGTGGGGTCCTGCAGGGCTTGGTCTTTGGATCGATACTCTTCAATGTCTTCATCAGTGACTTGGATGAGAGAGTGAAGTGTATTCTGTCCAAGTTTGCAGATGATACAAAACTGTGGGGAGAAGTGGACGCATCGGAGGGCAGGGAACAACTACAAGGAGACCTGGGGAGGTTGGACAAATGGGCAGAAAACAATAGAATGCGATTTAACAAGGAGAAATGCAAAGTGCTGCACCTAGGGAGGAAAAATGTCCAGCACACCTACTGCCTAGGAACTGACCTGTTCGACATCACGGAAGTGGAAAGGGATCTTGGAGTCCTAGTGGACTCCAAGAGGGACATGAGTCATCAGTGTGACGAAGTCATCAGCAGAGCTAATGGCAGTTTATCGTGCATCAGCAGATGCATGACAAACAGAACCAAGGAGGTGATATTTCCCCTCTATTGGGCGCTGGTCAGACCGCAGTTGGAATACTGCGTCTAGTTTTGGGTGCCACACTTTAAGAGAGACGTGGATAACCTGGAGAGGGTCCAGAGAAGGGCCACTCATATGGTTAAGGGCTTGCAGGCCAAGCCCTATGAAGACAGACTAGGGCACCTGGACCTCTTCCGCCTCCGCAAGAGAAGGTTGAGAAGCAACCTTGTGGCTGCCTATAAATTGATCATGGGGGTGCAGAAGGGAATAGGTGAGGCTCTACTCATCAAGGCACCCCTGGCAGTTACAAGAAATAATGGCCCTAAGTTAGAAGAGAGCAGATTTAGACTGGACATTAGGAAGAGCTTTTTCACAGAGTGGCAAAAATCTGGAATGGGGTCCCAAGGGAGGTGGTGCTCTCCCCTACCCTGGGGGTCTTCAGGAGGAGGTTAGATCGGCATCTTCCTGGGGTCATCTGAACCCAGCACACTTTCCTACCTATGCAAGGAGTCGGACTTAATGATCTATTGAGGTCCCTTCCAACCCTAACATCTATGAATCTATGAATCCATGGTCTTAATTAATTGAAGTCAACAGGGCCTGATGGGCATCATCCTAGGATATTGAAGAAGTGACAGAGGAGATCTTGGAGCCCTTGGTAATAATATTCACAAAGTTGTGGGAGACAGGCAAGGTAATGAAGGACTTGAAAAGGGCCTGTGTAGTGCCTCTCTTTAAAAAAGGCAAAGAGGAGGGCCTGGAGACTTATAGACTGGTTAGCTTTATCTTGATTCCTGGTAAGTTACTAGAGCACATCATAAGTGTATTTGTAAGCATATGGAGGGCAATGGGTTATCATTAGTGGCCAGTATGGATTTTGTAAGAACAAATTTTGCCAGATAAACTTGATCTTCAACAAAACTAGCTGGGTGTATAAAGAGAATGCAATGGATATAGTGTATCTGGAATTCAGTAACACTTTTGAATAGGTCCAACATCACCTTCTCATAAATAATTTGAAGATGGGTTAGACAAAACTACTACATGAGGTGAATAGACAACTGACTCAATAGCCATAAGTAAAGGGTAATTATAAATGGATCCATCTCAGACTGGCAAGAGGTTCTGAGTGGAGTCCTACAGGGATCTGTCTCAGGCCTGGTGCTATTTAAAATGCTTATTAATTATTTGAATGCTTTTTGAGTAAATTCACAGATGATATGAAACTAGGAAGGACTACAAACACACTGGAGGACAAGAGAACAATTCAGAAAGATCTTGCTAGATTTGAAAGCTGGGTTAGAGTGAACAGGTTGAAGTTCAATGCTGACAAATGCAAGGTGAAACAAAAATGATTAAAGGACTTGGAAGGCAAGCTATACAAGGAGAGGTTAAAAAAATAGATATGTTCAGCGTGTGGAAAAGGCAATTAAGAGGGAACATGATAGCAGCCTGCAAAAGACTGAAGGCTTGCCATAAGGAAAAGGGGAATGCTTTTTCTTTTTTGCTTCAGAAAGCAGAACACATACTAATGGCTTAAAGTTTCAGCAAAGTAGATTTAGACTGGATATTAAGAAAAACTTCACTGATAAAACACTCCAGCAGTGGAATAGATTTCCTGTTCTGCAATCTCCCATTCAAATCCATTTCTAAAAGGTTGCTGCATAAGAACAGAAACCTCAGGTCAGCAGTGGAATGTCCAGGGTAGCACCAAGCTCTGGCTATCCAATAAGACAGGGGTGGAAAATTATTCCTCTGAGGGCCACATAGTCTTTGGTGAGCTGTCATGGGTCGGGTCAGCATCCCCGTCCCCCCTGCCCCTGCACAACAATTCACCAAAACTCCCTATGTGGGATGGGGCCCTAGGCAGTGGTGTTCAGGAGTGGGATGGGCAGGTGAGCCCTGGATCACAGCACAGGGGCATGGGGTAGTGACAATGCAGGGACAGGGTCAGAGCCATGATCTTCTGCCTGTATGCCCCTGCAATGCAGCTCCCTGCTCACCTTCTCACCCTGCCAGTACAGCTGCCTGAAGCAGCATCCAGGGCTGGAGCCAGGACCCTGGGGTGGTGACAGCGAGGGGCCAGGACAGAGCTGGAAGCCACCACTGGGCCTTTCTGGGGGCCACCACACCCACAAGGGGGAGAAGAAGCTTGTGAACCACATGGAGGAGACTCAGGAAGCCAAAGAAGGGAGGCAGCAGTAGGGGATGGCCATGTGTCATTGCCAAGCCTGGTAAGTGGGGGGAATTTAGCATCCCTCCTTCCTCCCATCACCTGCCACCAGCCCAGGGCATGCAGCCCACAGATAGGGGAGTGATGGGGGTGGACCCAGCAGTGACTCCATGCCCCACCACACACTTGCAGTGGCCAAAACTAGGCTGGATTGAAGGGAAGGCAGGCAGTGCTGTAGCAAAAATAGATACTTTTCTCTATGTTTCTTTGTTCCTTGTTTTAGTATCAACCTCTGCATTCTGTAATTTTCCACCCACATGGTACAGGATAGCCCACTACCTATGTCTTATAGGTTGCTCAGGTTTTGGTTTGAAATGACCAATCAAAATGTAACACGTCAACTGAAAAAAATTCTAGCTCAATAAAAGCCACGTGCGCTCTTTGTTTAGGGTCAGCACTGATCTGAGCAACAAACTCCTCTGTCGGCCTGCTTGCAAGCAATAAAACAGAGTTGGACCCAGCCTGAAAGTGTGACTCTCTTCTAGAGGTGAGTTGGACTAGCCTCCAGGGGATAAAATCAGCAATTTATGCAACAGTGCTGGGGTACCCCCATCCCTTTCCAGCTCACAACTTGCCTCGAGTTGCCCACATGGCTGTAGGACCCCCCACCCCCACCAGCTTAGTGTGGGGTGTAACAGCATGGAGTGGAGTGGCACGGGGCAGCAGCAGGATCCCTGTGAAGGTACTGTGTTTGAACCTGTGTCTGGTCTCCTTGAGACCAGTGCCCATCCCAGACACAGCTCTCTGCCTGGCCATTGACAGTCTCTGTTGAGTCCAGCCTCTAGTCCGACCCTAGCCTAGGACACAAAACACTCACCTGGGTTCCCACCACTGCTGCTGGCTCTACAACGATCCACTCCAAGCTACTGCGCCCCATGCCAAGCTGGTGGGGCTGGAGGCTGATGCTGTGTGAGCATTCCAGGGTGAGCTGCAGGCTCGCTGGGATTACCCCCATCCTGGGATACTTCCCAGTGGTGTCTCGCAGAGTCCAGGGACCCTCCACAAGCTAGGCAAAATTGCTCTGTGGGCTGGATCCAGCCCACGGGCCATATTTTCCCCTCCCCTGCCATAAGAGTTTGTGATATATAGCATTGTATGTATTGCCACCAGGTTGCAGAACAACATGAAGTATTAGTATTTCCAATGCTTCTGGTCTTTGCTGGTTGCCACATGGCCATGAAATGTTTTCTTCCCACTCGTGTTGCTATGGGTGTCAGGATTCTTTTTAAAGCCTTCTTCAGAAACATTGGGTATTGGCTGCAGGCAAGGCTGAGGATTTTGACTGGGGCATACTAGTGCTCATGCTAGGACTAAAACTCAGAGGTTCCTGGATAGAGGGTCTTGTTCCTTCAGTTAAGGTGAGATCAATCACTACATTTAGGATCAGAAAGGAATTTTTACCTCATGGTCAGACTGATACAAACTATACGGGGGGGGGGGGGGTTGCCATCCTTTGTACCAGGGGTATGGCACTTCCTTGGACCTCTTGTGTGCATTTTAACAACCCTTGCAGTAGCAGGTCACAGGCTACCATTAACCACTTGATATACATCTGGCAGGTTAGGTTGCTATGCCTTGTGCAACAATTTTGATTGTGTACCTTTTGTAATAGGTTACACAATTTGTTTGGGATGGTTCAGCTAGCGATGATCCTGCTTTGGACTAGATGACTTCTGGAGATCCCTTCCAGCCCTACTTTTCTATGATTCCAGGTATGCTGAGTTAGGTAGAAATATTAATAGCTGATAGGAAGAGAGTAGCATATTCAAATACAGATAGGTGTCAGCTGTCTCTAATAGAGAGAATTCATGCAGGTTTATGACTTAAGGTGGAGTGAATAACGAAGTGAGATCAAAATTTAAGA